CAATCTGGTGTCTCTGACAGAAATGGAGTAATTATCCGGAAAATCTAATTTAGAGTTACTCGGGGTCATAGTCTTTTTGGGGGATATTCGTAGACCTTGGTCTCTCTCTCTCTCTCTCTCTCTCTCTCTCTGTGTGTGTGTGTGTGTGTGTGTGTGCGTGTGTGTGTGCGTGTATGTAGGTACTGTACGTATGTTTGTTTGTATGTATGTGTATACTTGCACATACACTTGTACGTGTGGGGCATTGATGGACGTTTTTCGTGTCGTAATCAGGAACAATTATCCCCCAGGGAAAGCCGGAAGGTGGATAACTTGGGTCAGTTTCAAAGTGCTCGGTATGTCATGGATTGTCAACACGAACAATCTACATGAGTGCGTGGTACCTCAGGACTATAGATAAATGGGGGTTGAGCATAACTGTGCGTGTGTTTGTTCAACCGAGGGACAAACAAGGCCTGGAAAGTCTGAGAGACAACCGACTATCATGACTATCTGAAAATGTTTGTGGCTGTTTTAATCTTGAACATGCTGGGAAAATAAGATAATCTGTACTATGTTGGATAATAACTGAAATACAAGGTGACGTCCACAATGGGGGATCTGCACACTGATTTTAACTATGTTCTTTAGATGCTTTAAATTTATAAATTATATAATGGCTGTCGCTCGATCTCCCCTCCTTTTCTATATCTTTCTATATTTCAATCATTGTTCATTGATTGTATTATATGTTGATTCTAACAACTACCCACTTCAGGGAGACTTGTGTCTTTCCCTACATAAGTATGTTTGTGGTTGGAAAACCAATAAAGACGTTGTATCTATTCCTTTCTCTTCAGTTCTCTCTCTCTCTTTATCTTCCGTGCGTGCATATGTATGGAAACAATCTGGATAATTTTACTGTATCTTCTTGGTTATTTTTACCGTAATACTATATCTTCTTTATTTCCCTTCTAGTACTTCTGCATGCGGCCAACTAACCTAGTTAAGAACAAAAGACCAGAAAAACAAGTATTTGGTCCTCAAACTGCTATTTTATTGCCACCACACTAAATGCAGATGCATACGTTGCGTTAATTGAAATTCAGTAAATATAATCGAATCCAGTTTGTGTCAATTCTCCATGTTTCTTATAATGTCCCTGCCAGCTTCTTCATGCGTTCTAGGATGGTCTTATATAGAACGCATTAAAACGCATATTCCATACAAGTTGGTGACAATTAACAATTCATTTCATATTCCATAAATCCATTCACGATTACCTAAGCAATGTACTCTAGTCGACTATACTGTTATCTTGATTATAGCATTGCAGATATTGCCTTCACTAATAAACTTTTTGCTTTACTAGTAGAAATATAGATATATTCCAAGAACAGACGAGGAGTTACTAAGCATACAGACATACTGAAAGGATAGATATAGTACTAGTATATAGATATTCTGCAAGAAAAGATGAGTTGCAAGAATAATATTAGATATATTGTAAGAATAGAGCAGTAGTATATTGATATACCAGAACAATAGAGGAGTTACTAGTATATAGATATACTGCAAGAATATAATGGAGGATCCGGAGTTACTAGTATACCGCAAGAATGGAGAAGTTACTGGTATATACTGATGTGTATACCGCAAGAATAGAGGAGGAGCTACAAGTATTTTGACATAACGTAAAAATAGAGGAGGAGCACACTGTAATTATTCTTGTTTAACATGTGTACTACAGGTTATTAAGAACGTTCTAAAATCACCAAATATATTCCTCTCGTTAATTTTCAATCCAAAGCAAAAATAATCTACCTTTTGTTACCTCAAGTAGGTCGACCTTATTGGCCAATTTTCCAATTCTAAGCTCGTAGCAGTGTAGCAATTTACCAGATTGTTATGTAAAATTTTGATTTCTAGAATAAGTGAAACTAAACATTAGAACCCTGTTACAGCAAGTACTATGGAGGAAGTGAAAAATAAGGTTATTAATATAGAACGATTTTCCATACAAAATGGAACGGACTGTATTATTGACTATTCTGACCGTATTTGAACATTTAGCTTGTATTTTCAAGTTTCGTCTTTCTGCTGTTTGCTTGTGATGTATGTAGAATTTCGAGATAAAAATTCTTGTCCGCAATCTTTTTCCCCACCAGGTCAAACATAGATGTTTACTCTTGCCAAATAGGTTTTACTTCCTACATGTACTACTCTGCAGTTTTCTTATTAGGACCATTTTCTCTCTCAACCCACCATAAGTTTTTTTTTTTTTTGGTACTGACAACAGATCATTGCCTCTCTCTCTGTCCTCCTTTTATTCCTTCAGCTTGTCCTGTCTTATGGGAGAGTTTTGTGTGATGCTAGTCTAAGACAAGGTAGCATTGCATGTCAAATTGCGTGTAACTGTAGCCCCATTTAATATCATTTTCAAATAAGATGCCAGATTTCCATTGGCTGTTGAAAGGAGAGTCAAATAAACAATATAGTCTGACATTGTTATTATGTTAACCAAGATTTACCTAACCTTCTGCATTTGTTCATTTAAAAGATTTTTAATGATTTGATATCTTTAAAATAGTTTGTATTTTCTTTAGCATTGCACCACGAAACTCTTTCTAGATGACGTCTTTAGTCCTTTAATACGAATCTAAACCAACGTTTCCTTTTGTTTGAAAAAAGAACGTCCCTTTCAACCTCACTGCTGTCAACACCTCTAATTTATAAGATCCGCTTATGAGCATACATTGTATGTGTTGTAATATCGCACCTCGAAAGGTACAGGTACAATTGTCATGAGAATAAGATGCACAGCTGACACCAAAGGAACAGCCTCTAATTTAGGAGATCAGAAAAGAAGACCATGCATGAGGGAGGAAGGAAAGAAGATCTAGACTGCTAAAAGAAAAGATAGATTTGACATAAGCCAAAGAGTTGCAAATAGAGTCCATATCTAAAATTACATGAGCATGACTAGATAGTTTCCAATAAAGAATAAGCTAAGAACGTGTGAAAAGAAAGTCACGCCGAGTTGACTTCCATGTTCATCAGTTTCTTGACCAGACCATCACAATCCCAGCCTACAGTATAGAGAGGAAACAACAATAGTGGTCTAAGCATGGATCATCCAAGAGTGGTAGCATTGCCAACAACCCAAAACTTTTATGAACTACTCTGCCGCGGCTCTTGTCATGGCATTGCAGTCTGCTGTAGCCTACTGATGATATGTTCAACAAGACATAAGTTTTTCATTGATGGAAAACCTGTACACTAAATACATTGCGTTAGATATTAGACATTTCTAAATCTAATTGAAAATCATGAACATTACAAAAATGTGTATCATTAACTGGCAAGGCTTGAAACAACGTTAACTATTTAACCATGCTTCTACCGACCCTACTCACCATTTATTCCTTGAAGTCCTCCATCCCACTCCCTATGATTTCCTCCCGGAACTCCCGTGCTGGAAAACAAAAGACGTACGATATACTTTAACTTTTACTACTTTAACCTGCAAGGAAGGTTTCAAATAACTCTATCAACCATCAACAATTTCTTCTTATAATTACATAACACCATAACCTGTAACACATTTGGTAGTGGAAGTTTATGGGGCTCTGATATTTTCTTATCCAGTATACTTTTTGTAATAGTTTGTAGAATCACAGTAAAACTTCATAGAAGGCTCTGATGACATTTGCTCATCCACATGTTTTGTAATATAGTATAAAGAATCATAGTAAAACATGAATTACCGGTTTCTTCCTTCTCTTCCTCCGTCTCCTGACAGGTCCACATCCCGTTTTCGCCCTTGCTGGGTTGCAGTTTTCCATCCTGCCCACACTCCACCTTGTAGCAGAACTCTTCGCCGCTGTCACAGCCGCAGTTCTGTAACTCGTCATCACCCACCCAGCTTTCGTTGTCCTGTAGGTAAGCATCAGTGGGAGGGACCAAAAATTTAATATACCCTGCATGATCTACCTCATAAACCAATATTGATGTATCCAATATTGATGTATCCAGCACAGTTTATTCAATAATACACTGTCAACTATTACAACATCAATTTGTCGCTGAAACAACCTTGAGAAAATGAAAGTTTTCAATCATTGTTCAAATAGTTTTGATCACATATGAAAGGAATTAAATACAACAATTCATCAAACTAGACGAAAGGACATAGTAATAAATCAGAGCCTTGTCCTGTCACTCCTCTTCATATTTATCCGTCACCCAAGCTCCAGGATGGCAACAGACAAATTTTACCATTTCCGCATGTTGACCACTGTCACTGAGAGGACAACAAAATGTGTTGCCCCCCAAATCAGGTAAAAATTAATGCGCACGCTGATGCCATCCATACAAATTACTTGCTGTGGCCAAACCTTATGTTCCCCACAGTCCTTTCCCTCGGGTTCCTCTCTCACTTCAGATGTCCTCTTTGATACAGTACCTAGAAAAATAGAATTCTAATATTTGTCTGTCAGTCAGATAGTCAGTGTTCATCTCTCTTTCATTTTTTACCTCTTTTCGATTTTTCAAAGAGTCGGAGTGATTTCCATTAAAGTAGCAGAACTTGACAGGAAAAGTTACATTCCCCTCCAAATATTGGGTGTTTTGATCACATAAAGTTCGCTGACTCCTGTTGGAACAAAACTTCCTAAATATACCCAGTATATTCCAATATATCCTCCCCCAGCTTGTGGAGTATCCTGCATTAAAGCATACTTCGTGGCATCTGCTTCAATGGTAGTGCAGGCATTAGTGGCAACATATTGCACACTAGAAGGGCCAGATTTGCAAGCAAATACCGCATAGTTTACTTCATCCCTTCCCATGCAAAAATTGACTCTTCCACGTCAATCAGTTCTCTCAGTTACACACGCACGCATACACATACGCGCGCGCACACACACACACACACACACACACATAGGCACACTTCCTTTGTCCGTTTGAAAAAGTCACAGTAGCGAAAAAAATAAAATAGAACAAAAGAAAGTTTTGCTTTACATACCTGCGTAGACTTCTATCTCGCAGACTGTCAGGATACGGCCATAGCCGGGCAGTCGGATCCCCACATATCGTCCTGTCAGTCCGTTGCAGTTGATGGCATCCTTGTCCTTACCAGCGGGGATGGTGTGATGCCCGCCGCAGCGAGGGTTCTGGTCTACGCGCGCATTGTTTCCAATGTGGACGGAGAAGGGGCTGAGTCGCTCTCGGCAACAGTCCGCGCGGTTCATGATGACCACCCACTGGACTCTGACCGAGGTTCCGAGGTCCACTTGCAGCCAAGGGTTCGCCTCCGCTGGAGTGTGGGTGCAGCACTGGCTACCCCAGTTCGGGTCCCTGCATCCGTCAGTCGCTCGGGAGGCAAACCCGTTATGTGCGACATTCGACTGGGACGTTGGTTTTCCCAGCGCTAGGTTTGGAGCTGAGAGTAAAAGAAGAAAATATTATTAAAGAAACAACAACAACAACAACAAAAAACAATTGCGAAGCTATCGTTTATTTCTTTGGAAGCTTTGTCCTGTTGAAAGAAACTCTCCCCTCGGTTGGGTTAAGGCAGCCTATGGCCAACTATGATTAGTATTTCATACATATGGCTGTAACTTTTGATAGCTTGGTCGCACCACAACTTAAATAATTAATAAATACGTTGAATAAAGGTTATTTTGTTTTTACTACTTCTGAATTTTTGGGTTAAAAATCAACATTTTGGTTAAAAAAAAGCTGTTTACTTCATGGCTTTACGCGCAAGCGGTAACAACACATTTCATCATGATATTTTACAAGTAGAAAGCCAATCCCCTATCTATTATTTTTGTCCGAGGCTATTTTGTTTTAAATGACAGTGACATTGTTTTTTTGGGCCCAAAACGACAGAAACAGCTATTTTTCTGTCATTTTTCGTTAAAAAATCGCCACAGTTAAAAAATTTCGACTTATATGCAAAATAGCCTCGGACAATTTTGAGAGAAAAGTGATAATACGTAAACATGGATTACTCTAAAGATGAATTATGTTGTTTCCAGCTGCGCGTAAAGCCGTTTAAGTCATACTCCGTGAATAAAATGCGTAGCAACGCGGGTTTACAGGGAAAACATACAAATGACCGCCGGTAACCCAGAATTCGAACACGCGTTCTATTCGAATGACGTCATATCGAACATGGTGGAGCATGATTCGGGTTCGAAACATGTATGTGGCAATCGTGCAGACACACGTCCTAACTCGAACATGAATGTTAGCCTAGGCCGCCGTTAACCCAACCGAGCC